ACAGAGGATTTTGAGTCCTTTCCATCAGTACTTTCTTTATAGGAGAGGAGAGGACTGAGAACACATTCCAAACAATTGTCATTGGTTTGTCAAGTTAGGATCCACTTGTGCTTTATTACTAACCATGGCAACATATTAGACAACTGAGAAGCAGGAAATCTGTAGGCATAGAAGTGCATACAGAGCATCAGGACTGGTAAATAAGTCTGCATAAATGCTGTTGCCATACAAAGACACTATTTTTCTTTCATTACCTTTCTTACACTGTTTCTTGATCAAACAAAACAGAGACCCTCTTACAATCATCTAGAAACACATATTCAAATACTCTCACCCTTTAGGCTAGAAGGGAATTTGCTTCTGTCATTTAAAGCATCTCACATTCAGCCTCAAGATGGCAATACCGTCGTAACAGTTGTTTGTTTCCAGTGTTAGGAGCTGACTCTCAATCTCCAGCAGTTTTTTCCACTGCTATAGATCGATATCAGTAATGGTGTTATTGCTGCAAATATTGTAGCCAAAAATATAGAAGCATTCAAAAATCTGGATGTTAACAGCTAAAAGAAGGTAAATAAATACTGAAGTTTTACTAAATACCCAGTTTGTACAATACGTGATTTAGTACAATAGAACAATAACTCTGTACATCTATACAAGATCCTAAAAACCTGTCATTAACCCTCACTATAACTCGTGTAATTAGATAACACCATTAACAACTGTGCTACATAATCTTTTCTTTGAAATTGCTTGGGTAGACATTTTTAACTCTATGGATTCTTGAAATAGTAATTATACATTATTTATAATAGAGGGAGAGGCCAAAGTTTTTTATCAGGATAATAAAAACCTGAAACTAAAAACTATTGGACCAATTTTGTAATTAAGCACTGGATCTTGAAAGTAAATACTTCATGCTAAATTTGCTTTCACTTGAACATTTGCTTTGCCTGACGTGTTTAGTATTATTTTTATTTATGACTGCTCACTGAGCACCAAAGACATGGTCCTGTATCTGAACAGTAGGGACATAGGCAACAGACAATCTCATGTTTGTCCTATGAGTTATTTTTGTACTACATCCGACACAAAAAGAAAAGAATAAAAATAAAAAGGAAAGAGCTGCAAATATTATACAGTACATTACTGATTACTGAGTTAAATCTAAATAATTAAAATATAATGGGAAAGTTTTTAAACGATTTGATACGGTAAGGAAACTGCTTCTGTACTTGTTTCATTTAAATAATTATTAAAAGCAGCATTTTTCTTCTGTATGCTACTGTTTCAAAGCTGTATTAAGTGAATTTTCAGTTGTAAACTTTTGAAATACCAACTATAATAGTCTGTTTAGAATAATGAACATTTCAGAGTTTAAAAAACAACCTCCATTCAAGAGACGTTAATAACTCTGAGGTTCTGCTGTACTCACTCAGGGTATGTCTACACTACCCTCCTAGTTCGAACTAGGAGGGTAATGTAGGCATACCGCACTTGCAAATGAAGCCCGGGATTTGAATTTCCCGGGCTTCATTTGCATAAGCGGGGCGCCGCCATTTTTAAAACCCCGCTCGTTCGAACCCCGTGCAGCGCGGCTACACGGGGCACGAACTAGGTAGTTCGAACTAGGCTTCCTAGTTACTCCTCCTATAGCTAATTTCTATAATTAATATTTTCATTAAAAATAATAGCAATTAGAATGAATAAAACAGCTGATGAACAGCTAGTAACTAGCATGCAAGCATATAGTAAACAAGTGGCATTTGTTTTTCTCTGCTTCTCTTATTTTAGGAATCATCAGCTTTGGTGCTAATGTAAGATGTGGCCAGATTTTTCAGACATGACAAGTGTTTTTCAGTGGCCAAACTGAGATGACTTAAAGTGCCCTGAATCTCAAAGGCTATGTGCTGAGCTCAGATTCAAGGGCACTACTCCTTGCTGAAAGCAGTATTTCTCAAAGTAGGCCATAGGCCCACTCTGAGAAAGCTGCTAACGGGCCACTCTGGTTTGTTTACTTACTGGCTCCCACTGATTTCTGTTCACTCTTTGCAGCCAAGGGGAGCAATGAGGTTCTCTGGCTGTGGAGCTGGTAAGTAAACAAACTGGAACAGCCTGTTAGCAGCTTCACCGGCTTAAAGTTAAGTGTATCAGGGTCAGAGTGCTCAGTATGTACTATGCACCCTCTTCTACTTCTGCTAGAACTCTGCCTAGTACTTCTTATCCGTAACAGATATTATGTCAGAACACGTGTGGTTGGTCACCAATACACATTGGCTGTGTCTACACTGCACCCCTTTTCCTACTTAAAATCAGGAATAAGGGATCTTCTGGAAAAGGCTTTATTTTCCGCAAGATCCCGTCTAGATTGGTGCTTTTCTCCGGCAAAGCCCCGAGCTGGAAAAAAGCGGCAGCCATGTTCATGCAAATGCCGCGGGGAAAATTTAAATCCCTGGGGCATTTGCAATTCCGACTGGTCTCATTAGCATCCCTTTTCCGGAAAAGGGTGCCAATGAAGACACAGCCATTTTGTTGTGGATGCCTTTACATATAGGAGATCCAGAGTTTTAAAAAAAATTTAGATTCTGATCTACTACTGCTCAAAACAAAGGTTTCACTGAGCTAAATGACTACCAATTCTTGTTCAATTTAGCAGAGTCAGTTTTCATTTAATGACACATACCCACCCCAGGGAGCATAGCTTACTGTATCACTTGACAGAAAAATGGATGGAGAAAGTATGATTTCTCAGCGTATTCAGTTTATTATTAGGCTGAATATAACAGTACATGTTTGGAGACTAACAAGATGGTTTATTAGATGATGAGCTTTCATGGGCCTGGCCCACGAAAGCTCATCATCTAATAAACCATCTTGTTAGTCTCCAAACATGTACTGTTATATTCAGCCTAATAATAAACTGAATACGCTGGCATGTTTGGGGACTTTATGGCTATCAGGATCAGTAATGGCCTGCAAAAAATTTTCTGCGTTTCCAGACACTATTAGAAGCTAAATTCAAAATTGTCTGACACTAGTGGAATGAGCAGGAGGTCTTATTTCAGTTCCCAGTATCCACGTCTATAGCTTCTACCACAGTTATCATCTTTGCTGGCAGATTCAGAAGAGTTTTTGGACCAAATGAATTCACACAAACCAAACTACATTCTGCCTACCTGGAAGCAAATCCTCAAACACAAACATTAAAGGCTTGTAAACAATTAAAAGATAATGCTATAGCACTCCAGAGTAGACACTAAGGATCTGTCTTCACTACATGGTGAATCAACGACATTGCAGCAAGAGCAACTCCTGCTGACCTTATTGCGTGGAAGATGGTGTGGTAAGTACGAGTAGTCCTGTGACACTTTAGAGACTAACAAAAATAGCTATGCTACTTGCAAAGCTGAAATTGTGTAGGTTAGATCGACTCGGGAGAGGGCATAGTGTAAACTAGGCTTAACTACACTGACAGGAGGGGTTCTCTCATCATCAAAGGTAATTCACCTCCAAGAGAGGCAGCAGCTAGATCTATGGAACATTTAGGCTGATCTAAACATTTAGGCTCAGGATATGGATTTTTCACACTCTGACCACAATAGTGAAACCAACCTAATTTTCTAGTGTAGGCCAGGCCTCAGACACATTAGAAGAAGATTGAGTAGTTTGCACTTTTGCTGCCTCTGTTAATGGAAAACTGTCATCCCACAGGGCATTTCTCTGCTGCCCATTGGCATTCAAAATTCATCTTACTTGTGTTTATTCAAGATGCTTAACCAGAAACTGCAATGATGTAAAATCTAAGATAAAGACCGCTTATCCCATAACCTTACTACAGCCTCTACATCAAGTTCCACCACTATTCCATGGGACAGAGAACCCATATTTTGGATCTACTTCTCTCTTTATAAAAAACACCTGAACAACTGGCAACAAAGCAGAGGGACACAACTGATAATCAAATGCCCCCAAAATCATTAATGCAAAGTTGATATTGTCCAGTGGAGTCCAGTGGCCTTCCAGGAAGCAGCCAGTGCCTAAACTTATACCTCTGAAAATCAGGAAATATGATTACATGTCACCTGCCCCACAATGCAATCTGATCTCCACCCCTGGGAACTGGCAATAGCTTCTGGGAAGCCATGTGACATGACAAGTAGAGCTCAAAGGGGATACACCACTGTTTAAGTTGCACTCCACAAAGTTGAATTCTGTCATGTATCTGCATGCATTCAGCTTCACTCACCGTACGAGGTGCAGCTGTACTGAAATGTGGAGGGATTAAGGCAGTGGTTCCCAAACTGTGGCCATGGACACTAGTGGCCTGTGACTGTCTTGCAGGAGGGCTGCAGGCTTGGGGCTCACCCCACCCCCAGAGGGAGCCTATGCTGGTACTCCAGACCTGCACCCACCCCTACCAAGTTGAAGTGCTAGCACCAGCTTCCCGCAGCAGGGTTGGGGGGAATGATACGGCTTGTGGAGGAAGGAAGCAGCTCCATGTGCTGGCAGGGAGCCCCCTGCCTGGAGGCTTTCCTCACTGTTCCCATAGGCCATAATCATGACCAATGGGAGCAGTGGGGTGTGCTGCCTCAGAGTAGCAGGAGGCACAAAGCTAGGAAAGCACCTTCCATCTCCCTCCCGCTCAGATCCCCATCCACTCCCAGACCATTCCTGCACCCAACCTCCCAACCAGACCTGCACCCCGCCCCCTTTTGCGCCTATTTTGTCATCAAAGGTGCTTGGTGATCACAGGTGATCCACGGAAAGATCTATGTTGAGTGGGTGGGCTGCAGGCCAGAAAGTTTGAGAACTGCCAATTTAGAGTCATCTTTAAACAGAAAGTGCACCTCAACCATAACTATAGTAGAGCTGGCACTCCTCCGCTAGGACAACATAAAACTGATTGGTATCAGCTTTACAGATGAAGGAACAAAAGCTGACATTTTCAGATCATAAGGACCCAGACATATTGAAAAGACAGAATATAAAAATGAGGTACAGAATTCAATACTTGAAAGCTCAGAGGAACTGAAAAGATAGATGAATAGCTGCTTAGAAAGCTATAACAAACCATGGAATGCAAATCACACAAAGACAAACGGTGCAAGAACTTCAAACTAAACTGTGCCTTGAAAAGAAACAATTTATTTAATCCACAGTAAACATACTTGGCACTGTGGTTCAAATACTGCTCTCTGAACACATACTGTAGTCTCCCTGGAACAGTATTTAAACAAACCTCTAGTTGACGAGGAAAACAATGTTTACAAGTACACATGCATTATACTTGGAAATTGTGGAGTAAATCCAAATTTAAGAAAGTAAAGATGAAAACTGGAAGCATGAATGCGAGGTTTAGTTCCATTCATTCCCTCTTGCACCCTTGGAAAAAAATCCATAATTATCAAGTTTATGACACTTTGTTTCACAATGCAAAAAGTTCATAATACAAACATTCATTAATTATACATCTCTAATTTTTTACTACTAAAAAGGCTGCAACAAAGCAGGACGTCCAAACTGGATGACACTTGAAACTCCACTTAAAACACCGACAGATTTAATCACAGAAGTTCCCTTAGGGTTTAGGATTATCCTCCTGGCGTGTTGACCATGCCACTCGCCTTCCTGCTCTTTGGGGGCTCCCCACCACTCTATCCTGTTGGGCCAGTTCCTCTGGTCTCCCCAGACAAGGCACAGAGTTGGGATTACAGAGTAATGAAAAGTAATGCAGGAACTGAACCACTTCAGTTCTGGGAGGACTCAGTTCTAAGGTGCAGCACCCAAGAAACCAACATCCAAAAGGGACCAAAACTCCAAACTAATCTGTTTTACTCTGTACAAAAGTTTAACACTAAAAGCTGGTGAGGTCAGCTCCTTTTATCAATGAAAGAGATGTACACAATGGTTGATCGCCCTGGTAACAAATATTTACACTGGGCTTGATAATAAACAAAAAAGTGTTCATTAAGTATGAAAAATAGTGATTGCAAGTGAAAACAGATCAACGTTAGTTACTGAATTAAAATGAATAAAAAGAGTTTAAGCTAGTTCTAATTCACGAAGGGTATGTCTACACTACCCTCCTAGTTCGAACTAGCGGGGTAATGTAGGCATACCGCACTTGCAAATGAAGCCCGGGATTTGAATTTCCTGGGCTTCATTTGCATAAGCGGGGCGCCGCCATTTTTAAAACCCCGCTCGTTCGAACCCCGTGCAGCGCGGCTACACGGGGCACGAAGTAGGTAGTTTGAACTAGGAAGCCTAGTTCGAACTACCTAGTTTGTGCCCCGTGTAGCCGCGCTGCACGGGGTTCGAACGAGCGGGGTTTTAAAAATGGCGGCGCCCCGCTTATGCAAATGAAGCCCAGGAAATTCAAATCCCGGGCTTCATTTGCAAGTGCGGTATGCCTACATTACCCTCCTAGTTCGAACTAGCGGGGTAGTGTAGACATACCCGAAGGCTATGTCGACACTGCACACTTATTTCAAAATAACTCATGTTATTTTGAAATAATAGAGAGCTCATCTACACAGCAAGCCCATTATTTTGAAATAATTGTGAAAAGTCTTATTCTAATTCCTGTAACCTTTATTTCATGAGGAGTAAGGGAAATCGAAGGAAGAGTGTTCTTCCTTTGACTTCTTGCTGTGTGGACAGCACCAAAAGCCAAGTTAAGCTACTTCAACTTCAGTTACGCAATTTAACTTAGCTGAAGTTGCATATCTTAACTCATCTTTTAGCTTGCAGTGTAGATGTACCCTAAGAAACATGTTACATGCAAATTCTTACCCTAAACAGCTGCTCTTACTCAGGTAAAACTTCAAATCAGAGTTGATCTTTACTCTGGCCTGGTTTTACCGCTTTTCAGAGTTCAAATATTCTCTTAGAACAGGACAGGCAGTTTAAAAAACCAGCTGAAGACAAAGGCTCATTGTTTCTCATTGCTTAAACAGACTTTCCTCCAGGGCAGGAATGCTCATTCCAGGGCAGGAATTCTTTGTTCAGCATCCCCTCTACATCTCCATGGGAAAATACCTGGTTCAAGATGGATTCCAGTACCAGGTGCCATGGTCATATGTTTTAGAATAATAGAATCACATAATACTAGAACTGGAAGGGCAGGCCAAACACCATCTAGGTCATTCCTGATAGATGTCTATCTAGGGCTACTCATAGTTTGGGCTTACAGGACAAAAAATGACCATTCACAGGTTGTTGGTTTGAGTACTGAGTCATTAAGTACCTGAATTATCACCAATGGCCTTCATTAGCACATTCAGAAATATAAACAGATTCACATACTTCTAACCTCATATACAAGAATGATACATGAAGATTCAGCAGATTGTAACTGTAAATTTGATATGTTACATGACCTGTTCTGCATAAAGCATCTTCAAGTTATGCATATTCATATCCCTCAGACAATTTTCATAAATCATGGGGAGCCATCACACCATCGTAGAACTAACTGGAGAACAATAATCCATCCCACAACAACTTGGGGTTTCTATGTCTGTTTTTTTTTCCTCATTAGAAATGAAACAAAACCCTTCAAATGCTTTAGTGAAAGGGAATTATGTCAAAACATCTGTTTTGGGGTGAAAAGTTCAGCTTTTAGTTTGGGTCCCTCTTTATCTCTACTCCTCAGGAAGTGGCCAGAGACTTCAGTGAAGCATTGGAATGGGTTACCTAGGGACGTAGTGGAGTCTCCATCCCTAGAGGTGTTTAAGTCTCGGCTTGACAAACCCCTGGCCGGGTTGATTTAGATGGGATTGGTCCTGCCTAGAGCGGAGGGCTGGACTTGACGACCTTCTGAGGTCTCTTCCAGTTCTATGATTCTATGATAAGGGGATGGTTGGATGAAATAACATGATCTTGGTAACTAATTGACCATTCATTATAGGGAACTTTCTGGGTGTCTGGCTGGTGAGTCTTACCCACATGCTCAGGGCTTAGCTGATCGCCATATTTGGGGTCAGGAAGGAATTTTCCTCCAGGGTAGATTGGCAGAGGCCCTGGAGGTTTTTCGCCTTCCTCTGTAGCATTGGGCACAGATCACAGCTGAAGGACTCTCTACATGTTGGGGCCTTCAAAGTATTTGAAGGCTTCAATATCTGAGACATAGGTGAGAGGATTATTCTAAGAGGGGTGGGCGAGATTCTGTGGCCTGCGCTGTGCAGGGGGTCAGACTAGATGATCATAATGGTCCCTTCTGACCTTAAAGTCTATGAGTCTATGAGTCTATGAGTGAGCATAGCAGAAACCTTCCCTTTCCTAAATGCTGCCACAGCAGATATTCCACTGAGAAATGTTCTGGCTTTGACAAAACAGCATGCTTCAGTGAAAAAATATGTTTTCAAAAACTTCCAGCCAGCTCTACTACATTATCCCATCTTGTCATACTTCTCATTACATCTCAATCTCAAATTCACCCTTTTCTACTAATCTTTGGGGTGGAGGAGGCAGCATTTTTAAAATAATGAGGGATGTAGCATAGAAATAGATTTACTGTGATCACTTTGCAATGAGGGAAAAAGTTCACCTATGAAAGCAAAACACTGAATACACCTAATTCTAAAATTAGCCCATAGATATGACAGAATGAGAGGGAGGCTTGTGACTCACATGGGCCTTTTAAGGTGCTCTTTATTTGAAAGACTGCCTAAGAGTCATACTATCATGTGTGCCTGACAATCACCATGGCAACAATGGGTTTCTTTACAAATAGAAATAGTATATCAAATAGACATGTAAAAACCCCTTAAACTGACAAAGTACTGATGCTCTGGTTTAAAAGAGCTTGTTCACTCTCTATTAATTTTTCCATGAATTAACAAGGGATGGAGGATGTGTGTTCACAGTAGCATGTGAGAAATCCACACATATGCTGTTAACAGGCCTCTCATGCACCACTTGGAAACCAGAATAGTAATAGAAATGTAGCTGTGTTAGTCTAGTCTAGCTGAAACAAAAAACAGGACTATGTAGCACTTTAAAGACTAACAAGATAGTTTATTAGTTGATGAGCTCATCACCTAATAAACCATCTTGTTAGTCTTTAAAGTGCTACATAGTCCTGTTTTTTGTTTTGGAAACCAGAAGTAGCAATGTTCAAGCACCATGCCTGATTCCTCTCCTCAATAGATGTGTGTAGCCCTGGAGGTTGGTAACTAGCTTATTGTGGAATTTGACAGCGAGGAAATGTAATTGTGATGTATTGCAGGAGAAGAATACAAAATCTTCCCTCATAATATCAGTTGTCAAAAAAAAAAATGCAGGAAGGCAAAACAATGCTAATCAAAGCCAGACATAGCAAACTTTCCAGATTCACAGATTAATGTTTGATGGTCAGATTTGTGAGCTGACTTTCCCTTGAGCTTACTACAGTCATTGCTGTACATGAGTCTGTTATATATGCTGGAGAACAACAAGACCAGAACATCAAGAAATCCTAATAGCCTTCTCAGGTAGTCTGCCCTACTTCACACAAATAAGAGGTGTCACAATTGAAGGGAAAGCAATATAAATTAATTGTGTTTCTAACAGCAACAAGTAACACTTCAGCGATAAGAAGATCAAAATCAATGGCATGTTCTTACCTAGCCATACTGTTTCATTAGTATGATCTTTACATGATTCAAAAGCTATAGGCTTGAAATAACTTGAAGGCTCACTGTGTTGTCATGTCAAAATATACTTTTGCTGAAAATGTTTTACAGTTCATCGGACAGAGGGGAGTACTTCAAAAAATTAGTGTTGACAAATACTCCCAAACCTCTTTTTCAACTCCATTACATTTTTGGGTCTATCTAATGTCATAACTTCCTCCAGGGGTACCATAGTCTAATTTTTATTATTTTGTCAACCATGGTAAGTGAAGCACTGTCTGCAATACATCAGCTATGTTGAGCTAGTGTCATTTTCTCTCTTTTGATACCAGGCAAATGACATTCATAATTGATGACATATTAATGTAATATATGGAGATATACCTATCTCATAGAGCTGGAAGGAACCTTGAGAGGTCATTGAGTCCAGTCCTCTGCTTTTACAGGGGGGACCAAGTACCATCCTTGACAGATTTACCCCACATCCCTAAATGGCCCCCTCAATGATTGAGTTTACAACTCTAGGTTTACCAAACCAATGCTCAAACCACTGAACTATCCTTCCTCCCTAACAAACTCTCAATTTAATCCAGCACTTGTATGATGACCTCTGCTATGGAAATGACCAAAAAGGCGCACCCTCATCTTTTAAGAATTTATTGCCACTTTAAAATGTTTACAGATTTTTCATTCTTCTATGCTGTTTGCAATTTCAAACATGTTAACCCATTGTTATTCTTTTTTTTTTATTTTTTAAGGAAAATCAAATTACCTGAACCATTCCACTGAGATTATAAACGAATGGTTCACAATGTCAAAAATGCTCAGCCCTCATCAGACTTGGGGGGTAGAGTTAGGCCAGTGCTGAACACTTTTGCAGATCCAATTGTGAAATGCTAAGGTATCTCTGAAATGAAAACAAACTATCAAGCCCTCCAAACAAATAGAACAGACTGCAACGTCTGTGAGGGCATGTTTACACTGGCGAGTTATTAAGGCTGTGTCTAGACTACAACCCTTTTTTCGAAAAAGGGATGTAAATCAGACACTTCGAAATTGCAAATGAAGCCGGGATTTAAATTTCCCATGTTTCATTTGCATAACGATGGCTGCATTTGTTTTCAAAACGGGGCTTTTCGATAGAAAAACAGCAGTTTAGACGGGTATCTTTTGAAAATAAAACCCTTTTTCAAAAGATCCTGTAAACCTCATTTTTTCAGATATCAGTACACACTTGGCTACGCTTTTGTGTATTCCAACTTTAAATGCAATGAAAAATTGAAAGCACCAAAGATTTTCCACCTCAGAAATAAAATGAACATGGAGCAAATTTTGAACATTAGTTATTTGGTCCTACCTGTGGGTCAGACAATCGGGATAGATCAGGATACAAATAGAACTTTATTCCTTCAGAAGCCCCTGGCAATGTTACTCCTCGAACCAGAAGAATCAGTAGCATGATATATGGGAATGTAGCTGTTACATAGACCACCTAGTGAGAAGAAGTAAAACATCAGAATTTTTTTTTTTTCAACAAAAACAGCAGCAAGGAGTTTGTTTCATCTGTTTCACTGGGAGTAATCTATATAGAAATGCATCATCCGAGTCCTACTGTGATATCTAATACATGGCCTGCTCTTCTGTAGAAGGTTGAATTTTATCCCCAGCAATATTCCTTCTTCAAAAATTTAGGCTATGTCTACCCTACAGGGAAAAGTCGGAAATTTCAAACCTCAATTCACGTGTCTTTTTTGGCTTTTCTGACATTTGGCCTGTCTACATGGGGCCAAATATCAGGAAAAAACCTCTCTTTTGGAACATCCCTTCTTCCTCATAGAACAAAGTTCACAGAGATGCTGAAAAAATGCATCTGCTTTTCCAAAATTTTTTTTGGAAAAGCAGACGCATTCCTCGGATGTGGCAGAGCTTCCAGAGGTATCCCGGAAAAGCTTTGCAGTGTAGATATAGCCTTGGACTTAGTAGGGAAAAGGTCAAACACTTCATAAATAGAGCTGGGTGAATAATGGATTTTTTGTTTCACAGGGCAATTCTGGGGAAAAATAGTTTTGAGTCAAACTGATTTTTTGTTGTCGTTTAGGGAAAAATCAAAGTTAAAGAAATATTTCCGGTCAAAACAAAACATTTTGTTTGAAATTTGTCCATTTTAAAACCTTGCTGATTTTTTTAAAAAATGCATATAAAGAACATTTTGAAACAAAAAGTGATTGTTGCAGTAACACTATTGAAATGAAACATTTCAGGTTTTTTAGATTTTAATACTTGTTTTACTGAAATATTGTGGTGATATTACAAACTGTTGCTGAATCTGCCTTTTTCAATAAAAATAAAATGGTGAAAAATGCCAAGCAAGTCTAATTTTAAAACTAGTTGAGACACTCTCTCTAAATAAACTACTATAAGTTCACTGCATAAGAGTTAACCCAGATATGGTACAATGGAAAAATTAGTTGACTTGCCACAAAATAATGTGCTGGCTTATCTGTTAACTATGCAGCAACCTATTTCTGGAAACAATGATACTCTTATTACTGACACTAATAAGTGCTTTGGAAGAGTCAAAACAATAGAAAGTATAACCAAGAGGGAAATGTAGATTTTCACCCATCTCTGCCTAAGCGTCTCATGCAGTCTTGGTTTGTTTTTTTTTTAAATCAATTTCTGAATACAGCTCATTAGAAATCACATCATACAAGTAACTGTTTAATAGGTAAAACAGCTATAAGGGTACGTCTAGACTACAGGCAGTCCCCGACTTACGCGGATCCGACTTATGTCGGATCCGCACTTATGAACGGGGCTTTCTCGCCCCGGAAGTCGGGGCGAGAAAGCCCCGTTCGTAAGCTGCTCCGGTGCCCCTGGTCT